TTTAGAGGAAAATTCATCATATATAAGGAGCATGTGAGCATGAAAGAAGACTGTCGTGTAAATCAGTAGAAAAAATCCAGTGTAGAAGAGTTTAGCAAAAAGTTCAGCATTGTATGAAAACAAATGTCCAGACTCAGTTCAGAGACTCAAAGTCAGTCTGACAGAGTTAAGGGTTCTAAAAATAAAACCCTAGTTCGATCAAATCACATAATCAAACCTCGGCAGAACCCCCAAATTCTAGGGTTTCCACCTTGAATCAAGTACAGAGATGAGGAGGCAAGTAGTTGAATCGAAACATGTTTAGAGGTTTCAGAAAAGAACTGAAACTTCTAACATGCTTCTTCCAGCAATCAGAACTCATGAATAGTATGTAAATACAGTAGAAGAGTTCAAAGTAAACAGAGTAAAGAAACTAATTCGAAGCATGATGAGGAAAGACTGATAAGAACAGTAAAAGAAAGCATGCTTAAGAAGATCCTATTAAAAGAGACTTAACAAGGTTCAGTAGAAGAAAAGAAAAAAATAGTAAGAACACTTAAGAACATGGTAGAAGAATACAGTAGGCGAAACATACCAGACCATGGTAGAAGAAAATAGCAGAACATAGTAGAAAAGCATACAAGGACATAGTATAGAAAATACAGTAGAAGAACATACAAGAACGGAATATAGAAAGCACAGTAGAGGAACATACGTGGTAGAAGGTAAACATAAGAACATAGTAGAGGCAAATACACACAAAAGCAAAAGAGAAGAAAGTCAGATAAACACTCAAGCATTTTCAGAAAACCCTAGATCGGAAAAGAAAGACTTCAAAAAGTAATTTTTGAAAGAAAAGTTAGGGAAATCGTTTGAAAACTCAAGTAGAGCATAGATACACAACAGATCTAAAAAAAGTCAGAGAAAACCTCGAAGGGTTAGGGTTTCAGAAGAACCCTAGAAATGAGAAAGGCTTTGAGAGGTCATCAATCTGAGTCGGAGAGGTCGGAATCAGACTCAAACAACTATAGTACGCCGGAGCAAAGCCGGAGATGACCAGAGAACCTTGAAACGATAGAGGTCTGGTGAAAACCTTCAAAGTCAGGCCTCGAATCTTTAGGTATCAAGCACATAGGAGCAATAGGAGGTGAGTATAAGACTCCCACAGCCTGAGAAGCCATGGATTCCGGTGGGTTTCACGGTGGAAGATGATGAGACGATTAGGTTTCAGAGAAGGTTCGATAGAGTTTGAGGGGGTGAAGGGATTCAAAGGCGGCTGATAGATGAGAGTGATTTAGGGTTGGGGGGTTTGGGAAATTAAAAAGGAAAGAAGGGATCGTGGCCGTTGATCATTTTGATCAACGGCTTGGATTTATTGGGGAGCCGGGCGGGTTGGATTAAATTGGGTCATGGGCGGGTAGTTTAGGAATTGGGCCGGTCCGATTGAGATTGAAATTGGGTTAATTGGGGTGGTCGATTTGGGCTAAATTTGAAATAAATTGGGCTAGATTTTAAATAGCCACTTTTTCCCTTTTTATTTTATAAAAATAGTAAAAATAAATCTGAAAACAAATTAAAGGCACTAAATTAATTAATAATATACAAATGTTAAATTAAAAATACTGGAATCAAATTGGTAATTATAAACGCAATTAATTCTTAAAATAGGCTAATATTGCAATTATATGCAATTTAGCTTTAAAAATACTAAATAAGTTTGTAAAAATGTGCAAAAATTACCTAGCTATATTTTGGAATAAATATGAGAATAAAATAAATTACTCACCAAAAATGATAATTTGAGGAATAATTATTGGTTTTTGTATTGCTAAAATAGGCAATAAATTGATTTAAAAATCCTTTAAAAATTTAGGAAAAGTACTAAAACATTAAACCTCCCAATTATGCACCGAATAATCCTCCTCTTGAAGCATTCACAACCGCAGCACATCAGTAAACACCCTAACATTTACACCAACACTGTGCGATAACAACACGTGAATTATCGCTATACACTGTGTACAACCCTGAACTTGTGGGCAACACTAACACTGTGCTGAAATGATTGAACAACCCTCTACAAGGAAACAATCGCAGTATGCCCTCATAACACAGGGAAAAACATCATCCACCACACTTGTATCATCAACTCGTCGATGCCCAACTGATATCAAGTTCTCGACATCGCATTTGAATGAGTGGGAAGGAATTTAAGACATAAGCTTCAATTGAAATCAAGTCGCACGATAAAGAATGAAGAAAGGAAGGTTCTCTTAACGGTCATACATCTCCATACCGATCCCCAAGACTCTACTATACTTGATCATGACTCATGAGACCTAAGTGAACCTAATGCTCTAATACATAGCTATCACGACTCAATTCCCACCATAGGCCGTGATGGCACCCAATGCTGCCGTTAGGCAAGCCAATAATTAATCGACACGCTTACCAATAGTCCATAACACATTTAGTACAAATGATGAAATAAATAAGCAAACTATTCTATTTTCATAGTAAAATACTGATATTATCTTAATTATTGGAATGTGGTCGAAATATAAATTTGAATATCATAACAAAAATGCAACCAAGATAAAAAATTTAAATTTCCAAAATCTGGTGTCACAAGTGCATGAGCATCTGCTGGAATAAACATTACTACTACAACAACTATTTAGAATAGAAAATAGACATAATATAGTAAATAAATGGGAAGGTAACTATGTGTGTTGTGGATCATAACATGAAGAGCAGCTAACCACAAAGTCTTCTCAGCAGCTGTACCCACGCGCTCGCGTGACCACCAAATGTACCTGTCTCATTACCTACACAATTAATGCAGAAGTATAGTATGAGTATGTAAACCAATGCGTACCTAGTAAATATCTAGTCTAACCTCGAAGAAGTAGTGGCGAGGAGTCGATATCGACACTTACTAGTGTTCCAATAATCAAAGTACAATAAAAGTAGACATGAGCATAGCAAGAAAAAACAACAAAAACAGATATATGTGTATAACGATCCTCAATAGAAGAATAAATATGAAATCCTCAAATACCAAATACTACCTCGAATGGAATATATATGACTAATGTCAGGTATAAACGTCATAAAATGTGAGTCAGGATACTCATATATGCACCGACTCCCTATCAAAATATTATGCACGATGCTGCCGAATGGCCCGATCCCCTAAGAGTGATTGTACGATATCTCGCTATGGTCGTACTACTTGCTCCCATAATACCGTCGAGGTACGTACGACTCGATCCATAGATGTATTTCATAATACTGTCAAGGCGATCCATAGAGATATTTCATAATACTGCATAGGGCGTATGGACCGATCCATAAAAGTAGTGTTGAGGCGTTCAACCTGATCCCATAAGAATAGTGAAACTTTTGATGGATCATCAAACCAACTCGCGAATATATATGCGAGTTATGAAATCAAGAAACTTTCTGACAAATAAGTACAACGCATGAGTAATCCGTAAGAGCAAGTATAAATTTCCTCAGCTAATCAAGTAGCGCGCCTAGATAGTAAGTCTCGATACTCTATGCAAGTCTAGTGTCAGACTAACACATAAATTAAAGCATATAAACAAGTAGGAATAACTCAAATAGTATAGTTAAAGTATGATGTGAGTCTAAGTCTGCCCGAACAAATCAAGAATCTAGCATATGCATGGATGCTTATCATCTCATACGTGCGTAGCTCCCATCACACATAGAACATAGCGAGTATAGTACCTATAGGGTATATTCCCTCTTAAAAGGTTAGATAGGAGACTTACCTTGCGCTGGAATTCGATAATCCGCTCCAACGCCTCTCAAGCATTTCAAACCAATGCCAAACAGTCTGTAACTAGCCAAAGAACATGCGACATTCAAAATATACCCAGAGACTCGTTTGACAATTAGAAATAATTCCTCAACCCCACACGAAAATCAATAAAAGCCAACACCCGGGCGCACGCTGCCGGTTTCCAAAAATTCTCGAAGATAAATATTACTCATAGCACCACGAACTCAGATATATAATTTATTCCCAACTCCATGCCTAATTTCATGGTCAAAACTCAAAAATAACATTTTAGGTTTTCTTTCAAAAATTTCACAATTTCTAATAATTTTCATATTTAAATCCGTATATAATCCATATATTTGGCACACGATAAGTAGGAATTACTTACCTTGTGATAGATAATGAAAATGCCCTCTAAAATCGCCTCAAAATTGGCTTCAAGTGAGAGAAATGAGATGAAATGAGCTAAGTCCTGATTTTGCAACTTATACATTGCCCACCCGTTCCTCTTCGCGATCACGGAAGCACACCCGCGATTGCGAAGGCCAAATCTGCAGCTACCAAAATCTTCAAAATGCAAACTTCCGACAATAAGCGCCAAATCGTTCCGTATCACTCGATACTCAATCCGAACATACGCCCAAGTCTAAAATTACCTTACGAACCTATAGGAACCTTCTTGTCACGATTCCGAGGTCATTTACTCTAAAGTCAAATCTTGGTCAACTCTTCCGATTTAAAGCTTCAAAATTTAGAATTATTCTTCCAAATCAACTCTAAACCTCTCGAAAATCGAAACCAACCACATACGCAAGTCACAATGCCTAATTTAAAGCTACTCAAGGTCTCAAATCGCCGAACGACATGCTAAAACTCAAAATGACCGACCGGATCGTTACATCATTGAGATGCACTTGTAGATATTGATATTATGTTTATAAAGTTGAATCATCAGCTTGTAGATGAGTCATCAAGTCCCTCACTGGTTCTCGTATTAGTTACATATGTAACAAGCTTGGTACATATGATTTGTATGCACCGGCTTGAGGGGTCTGTCCAAAACAAATAACACATTACTATATTTGAAAATAATTTAACTTTAAACTTTTTATTTTAGTGGCTTTATCTTCAACGTAGCACAAATATATATTTGGCCCAAATAGAAAATAACTCTTACTTACACGTGGCGTTCTCTAGAAATATAGTCGGTCTCACTTGCCACTTCGTGGAGAGTTGACTAGGATTTGCAATTGCAGAAAGTGCAGTCAGTTGGCAAGAAAGCATGTGTATAGCCGTATTCATATGGAAAGCGCATCCGCTCTATCCCTTCCTCCTATTCCTCAACAGAGATGAATTCCACAATCGGTAAGCCATTTTGAATTTCACGCACTTTTTTCGATTTATTCTATTCGAATTTGGTTGTCTAATAATTCCTTATTGTTGGAAGTCCCACGAAGCCTTTGGCATGGTGGGAAGATAGTGATATAGTTGGTGGAAGAGATGAAGTTGCTGGCGGGACTTGGCTGGCTTGTACTCGCTCCGGAAGAGTGGCTTTCCTTACTAATGTTCGGGAAATCAATTCAAATTCAGACGCCAAGAGTAGAGGAGACCTTCCTGTTCGATTCTTAAAGGTGCTTTCTCAGCATTATTAAGCACTCCACCTGTTTGTTTTAATGCCTGGAGCTTTCTTATGACTTAATGTTTTATTGATGTGATGTTCCATGGGGTATACAAAAATGGGGAATCTTGGAATATAGCTGGGTGTTAACTAAGCATGTTTCTGGTTATGCATCCTTTTGTTTCTAATTGGTGAATTCACCGTTGATATTGCCCTTGCCTTAGTACTTTCCAGATTCTAATAAAAATTTCTGAACTTGGTAAAAATAAGCCTCTTAGGTACTTATTGTGTGAAATATATATTTTTGTGGGTTTGTAATTGCAGAGTAATAAGAGCCCACATGATTTTTCGGAGCAACTTTTGGGAGAAGCTGGTCAATATAATGGGTTTAATTTGATAGTAGCTGATCTTTGTTCGATGACCATGGTTTATATAACCAACCGACCAAAAGACAGCGGTATGTCTGCGACTGAGGTTTCAGCTGGTATTCATGTTTTATCAAATGCAACACTTGATACTCCATGGCCTAAGGTAACAAATTTCTCTGCTTCATCATGGTCTTCTTCTGGATGATTCTGTTAGACTATTGACGCTTAAACCTGCACTGCAAGGCTGTGCTTATGGATATACCTTCCGTGATCTCAAAGCTTTTACATAACACTCAAAAAGGCACATGTCTTGAAAGAAAATATAGGCCACCAAAGAAAACAAGTTGAATTGATGATGGGGTCATTTAAGAACATAGGCTGACGGAGTTAAGTTGTATTGAGGGAATTGTTTTGTGTCAATCAATCAAAAATGCCTCAACTGGATATATTCACTTATTTAACACTGGATTTAGCGCAGATCATCTCCAACCCACTCGAACAATTTGAATAATCTCATTGATTCCTATGAAAATAGGAAACTTATATTTCTCATTCACAAATCCATCTTTGTTTATGCTACTAACTCCCAGTTTGGTCCTACTTTTGGTTTATTTTGTTACTAAAAATGGAGGAAACTCAGTACCAAATGCTTGGCAATCCGTGGTAGAGCTTATTTATGATTTCGTGCTGAAGCCGGTAAACAAACAAATAGGTGGTCTAAAATCATTTAATGCATTATGATAAATCTAATGCTGATGATAACTATTTTCTATTTATCAGTTGAGCTCCAAGACTCTGAAGGACATTATCCGTTAGGCTTGACATGATTTACAATATCTATTCATTCTAGAGTTTCTGGTCTCTACTAGTTCTCCACTCCCTCACTTTCGGACATCATTAATATAACAATTAAAGATGCAATACAAATGGTCTATAGAACTTTCTGGACAAGAGCTCTGAGTGTTTTCATAGTGGGGAGAGGTGACCAGTTTGTGAGGCAGTTGGATTGTGATAAATCAAACCTAACTAGTCAAAGCAAAATATTGTTCTGGATGTAGAAATAATATGCAATATTCCTGAAATTAAATGTTTGGTTTATGCTGTCGATCAGTGAGATATTCAGGTCCACTACACATAGGTAGAAAAGAGATTGACGAAAAAAGGATCAATCCGTGGATATCACAAAATTTATTTTAGCTACATGCAATTCTGGTAAAAGGAGATTCACTACCTAGGTTTAGGGACAACTTTATCAATTTATGATTAAGAGACTCACCGTGAGATCGTGATAAATAGTTTTAGGAGCTCCCCTATGGAGTGATAAGACTTGACACAGCTTAAACAGAATCAACTAAGAAGTTCTAAGAGCAATAAATCAGTTCAGAAAGTGACAAGTGCTGCAATTTCAAGTATCTACATGAACATAGTCACAACATTTCATATGGAAAATGTTTTTTGTCGTCACATACTTAATGTTCTCTTGAACTTCCTTCCTTTGATGACATAGATCGTTAATCTAGGAGGAAATATACTGCAGCAAAATTAGGTAAAAGAGTTTATATCTATACTGCTCTACAGATGGCTGTTTAGACCCTCTAATACTATGTCAAACTCTCGTCCCAAGACCAAAAAGGGGTTATGGAAAAAGAAGTGAAGACAGAGATCCATATCCCTAGCTTTATTGAAGCCCATCAACTTAAATGTAAAATCTTAACTTTCTTAGCATGTTGTTGGTTGGAACTGGTCTAACTTGTGACGTGGGAGTATTTGAACACTCTGCATTCTCATTGTTTCTCTAACTTGCAACTCAGTGTTCAAGTCATAATACTGAGAGCGGTTATCCTAATGCTTTAGGCTTCTATCAGTTGCTGTCAAAGTGCTTTTGCATGTTGTTAAAGCAATTGACAACAAGCAAAAGATTATTAAGAGTGCCGTCTCTTTTATGTTGCTGCTTTCATTCTTTTTTCTTTTCCAGTGGTTCAGTGAGTGATGCCTAAGATTATTAAAAGTGCCTTTGCCTCCATATTCTGAATTTCAAATTTGCAGTCTCAACGGCTGGAGTGCAGTTTCAAGCAATTATTAGATGAATATGGTGAAGCTGAAATTCCAATAGGACGGGCAGCTGAAAGAATAATGAGAGACGTGTCTAAAGAAGACAGCAACCTGCCAGGCATCTACCCCCCTGAGTGGGAGTACCAGTTGAGCTCCATATTCATTGATACTAAAACCTCTATGGTATTGTATTTACACCCCTCTTGTTTTCAGCTTAAGGAAGTGCACACGTATTTGCCTGTTCCATTTTGATAAATTTTGCTTTCTAACGGCCGGTGCATAGGGGCGTTATGGCACAAGAAGCACTTCTTCACTGGCAGTGAGGAGTTCCGGTGAGGTAACATTTTATGAACTGTCTCTTGAGAAGGATGTATGGAAGGAGCAGCAGATGACCTTTATGATTGAAGGTGTTGTTTCTGTATCCTAAGAAGTTCTTCAAACATGAACTACCAAGATCCAAACAAGACAATGTTTGTGATCTTTCCCATGGACAAAGCGGCTGAGTTATCTTCCTCTGTCTTAAATCTGCATAATCAAGTAATACTTCGGTGATCCTACATTCATTCGTTTCTCTACGCCAGGACCTCCTTGCACAATCTGCTAGGGAAGATGAGGTGGTTTTGCTTAATAAGAGCATCATATTAAGTGTATATCTAAATCTTAGCTGCTGACACTAGAATAAGTGTTGTAGCTAGTGTTGTAATATGAATGTACTAGTAAGTGTTCACTTGCCCAGCACTGATACTTATTAATGAAGGACAGGATGAAAAGATGGGGGTCATAACCTCCATTTTCCGTGTTATTCTTTTTCTTATTTTCTTTTGCTTGTCGTTAAGCTAGTGAGGAATGCAGGTCCTGATAATTCTGTAGCCAGGGACGTCAATGGTATTTGTCATCTGTAGTCTAGGCAAACAACTGTATTATTGACGCATTTACTAGTATTTGTCATCTGTGATGGTAAATATATGTGAGCACGTTATAGTTTATATTCAGGTGAAAATGCAGCAATTGTTTGGGTGTCGATTTTAGACATAATCATCTTAAAAGAGCAACATAGACGTATTACTTATTTGCATTTTTCCCGCAGAAGGTTGCGGCTGGCAGTTGCAGGCGGAGGAAAAGACTTAGGTAGCCCCTTATGTATGCCTATAGGAGTAATTTTTATTCCTTATCTTTGTAAAAGAGGACAACTTTGATCTAATCCTTAACGGGGGAAACAAAGGTTACGTCAACTATTAAGCTAAATGTAAAGAAGACCGAAAACATTACTGATATGCCGGAGCAGGGAAAATCCTTAATATCTTCTCTTTGCTTTGGTGCCAAAATCGTTCTTCCAAAATCAAAGCTTTGCCTTTGGCTTTATTCTCCATTACCAACGATGTATATCAAAAGGAATGGTGCAACAGAAGCAAGCCCATATGGTGAGAATCTATTGATGAGAATCTATTTTACCTGCTAGTGTGCAGAATTTTTGCTTTAATTTTTTCCTTTATTTTTCTTTCTGGTTGTCGCTTTTTATCATAGGTTGATTTTGGTTATATTTTTTATTTTATTTCCAAATTGGAAAACTAATTTATTTTAAAAATTAAAGCATGTTTTTCTATTTTGTTTTAGGTTAGAAGAGGAGAAGTAAAGGTTGAATGTTGTTCGAATTACTTTTGCTGTTGTTTTGGGATGATGTTCAAGTTAGTGTTGATGCTATTTTTCTTTTCGGAACTGTATAGAATATGTAATTGCTGAAATTGTTGAAGATTTCTTGATGAAACTGAATGTTGTTGAAATATTTGCAAAATTATTTCTGGTTGGATACTTCTTGTTAAATGTTTTTATACTTTTCAAATATTTGAATAGGATCGGGGCAGCCCAAGGGTCAAGCCACTAAAGCAAATTTGGGGGCCCCAAATTTTTCTTTTTGTTTTCTACATGTACTTGTATTGAGATCCCGACTAATCTAGATTCGTACCGCGCAAGGCCTAGTAAAAGAAAGAACACATTTTGACAAGATTTGTTTAACCACAAGACTCGAACCCAATATATCTAATTAAAGTAAGTTGGATCATATACATCTCACATCAATCTTCAGAGGTAAAGTCTAAATATATTGGGTATTTTTAAATAAAAAAAGTAATATATTTTATAAAAGGTAAAGATAAAAAATAAGACTTGGACTATTGAATATACCAAAAAACGGATTCTAAAAGTTTATTACACGTTTTAGTGAGTAATGGAAAAGGGGAATAATAATATAGGTACTTCACTAATTTTGTTAATCGTAAAATTTAAATAATAAAAAGTTTTATTCTCGTGACAAAGGTTTAGGGGGGGTGATTCTCTTTTTCCAATTAAAAGTTATATTGTTCTCTGTAGAAAGAAAAGAGTTTTATTTTTTCTATAAAAAAGACAAGAATTGAAGAGTATCGTTGAATAAAACTATATTCGCATTCTTTTTTTCCCTTCAGGTTTCAAGCGTTTCAACAAGTATATTAGAACATCAAAAATAATTTCGATATCAAGTTATCAACTTCTTGAATATGGTTCTATTATCTAAGATCAGCAATATCTTAGGAGATATAAAATTATTATTTATAAAAAGAAACAATTAACAATTTTACATCTTAAAAAGCTAGAAAAATAGGCTTTAATTAAAAATATAGATGAATTATTATTTTTTTTTCTTTTGAAAGACCCCAGATTAAAAATTGGCTTTAGGCCACCAATGTTCTTGAGCCGCCCCTGAATAGGATATACCGTTTTTGAGCAAACTGCTTAACTATGTTTTGATGTTTTTATTATGAGACAGACTGTATGGAGTAGGATGTTAATCCTTTAATGTATCAATTTATCTAGTCCAGAAATGTACTATTCTTCCATTCCCCATCTTTAACATGATGTCTTTTTCAAATTCTTCCCAAAATTTGGGAAATGTGCAGGCTAGATGATTTCACTACTAGAAATTCGGAAAAAAATGACCACAAAAAGCGATCAGTGTTGGTCGCTCATTGGCCAAAAAGCGACCAAAAAGCGACCAAACGTGCCTGGTCGATATTAAGCTGGTCCCTTTACCTTAGGGACCAAAGTTGGTCGCTAATTAGCGACCAACTTTGGTCTCTCAAGTCAAAGGACCAAATATTCCGGTAAAGACACTGGCGACCAACTTTGGTCGCTATATTATTTTAATATTATAAATTTTGCGACCAAAGTTGGTCTCCTTTTGTAAATTTTGTTTTTTTATTTATTTATTAATTATAAAGTAGCGACCAACTTTGGTCTGTATATGAAATATTATATTTTTAAAATCTGGAAAATGGCGACCAATGTTAGTCGCTATACTATAAATTTTTTAATTATTTTTTTAAATAAGCGACACTTGGTCGCTAAATACATGAATTAATTTTTTTATTTATTAATAAGCGACCAACTCTGATCGCCATATTTTCAGAAATTGTTATTTTTCTGGTAAATAGCGACCTATCTTGGTCGCTACTTAGGGAATCTGGGTTAAATAGCGACCAACCTTGGTTCACAGAAAATTGTTTTTTTTAATAGAAATGCGACCAAATAGCGACCAAAGTTGGTCGCTTTTCTTGGTATATTGCTGGCAGGAACGGCCTCTTTTGGCAGCTACACCACCTGCCAGCTTACCAAAATCCTAAATAGACAAATATGCCAACAACAGCAACAACAAGCAACAACAACAACAGCAACAATTATAACGAACAAAGTATAAAGTTCAATGGAACTTTATACTTTAAGCTAATTAGCAAACTAATAAGTTAAATGTTATTACAGAACCATTCGAAAACCAATTGTATTTGTCTAGCATAAACTTATAAGTTCAAAGATTGTTCTCTACATCATTATCGTCACCGTCTGATGAACTTTCTTCACCATGACGGTATCTAGAATGGGCTATTTATCGATGATGGGAAGAATGACCACGGGGAGGACGGGGGGAATGAGCACGGGGAAGGCGAGCCTCTGGCGATGACTCACAAGACCGGGGAATTGGAAAATTGCCAGAAGCTAGGAGAGTTTTGATCTGCTCTTGCATGCCCTTGCACTGAGCTTGCATGCCAGAGTACTGCATATCTCTAAGCCTTTCTCTCTCCTTGGCGGCTTCTAGCTCGGATGTGAGCTTTGCCACAGTCTCCCGCATAGAGGAGAGGCTCTCCCCATCAAGTTGCTCAGCTTGGGAGGAAGTCCCTATTCCTTGCATTCCACACTTATAGCGATGGAATTTCTTATTAGGAAGCTCATATACCTTCCCCCCTTTTGGACCGCCAGCAGCCTGCGTCCACATTCTCTCAGCATCCTCGTCCGATAGTTGGATTGGCGCGCCGGACTCATTAGGTGGCTGACTGCGTATGAATTGCTCCACTTCAGCTGTGAAGCGACCCTATAAGAAAAATAATATATGAATTACTATTTCCAAATTTATATAAAAGTAAATCAAAATTCTTAATGAAAAGTGAAAACTTATATGTACAGTCAAGGCTNAAACAACTCTTGCTGAGAGCATGTCACCATCTCAATGCCATTTTGATTGGAGTTGTGAGGCAGGAGTAAAAACATCAGCAGGAAATTCAGCACTTTGAGGAAGTGTCTCATGTTCTTCACAAGCAGCAAGCAGAATACAATCTCTTGGTAGAAGGGGCAGAGGAATCAGAGACAGTCAAGTCTTGGAGCTGCATTAAACAAATCACCAGGTAACTGATTAGCCTTAAATTTTGTGTCTCCTTCCATCAGCCTTTTTTAGCAGATGGGTAGATCACCTCATCGTTAAGCATGTAATGCATTATTACAATATGTACCTCTAAAAAGGTATTAACAATCATCCCAGCAGCTGAGCAGTCAAAGACATAGATCGATGGTGTCTTCAACCAAGAGTTCAGGTCTGTAATCGGCAATGGGATATACTGCGTATAACTCTAAACCAGATGTCCCAATAAGAAAAAGACAGATATCACAACAGCTCTGAGAAATCAATTTGAGTAAGAAAGAAAACCTTATTAAATAGCCAAATTTCACCATTGGATGTTGGTTTCGGCACACCATGTCCATTATAATGGAACAGAACTCGTTCCGACTTGGCATACTTTCTAAACAATGGGACAACTGCTTTCGAGCTTTGAGATGGAAGTTTGCAGCCACTTCCGCGCTATAGCGGTGTTCCCACACACACTTGCTCTGTATTTCAAAAGTCAAGTATTATGTGGAAATATCATATTTAGATGGAAATATCATAAAAGCTATATTCGATATATTATACTTAGCTTTTATTAGCTAATAATTATTCAAAAGTTAAGTGCATTAACTGCTTATAATATAATATTAGCTAAAAGCTAATAAATGATTATACTGCTTAAAAGAATATTTATACCTTAAATTGATTGAAGATTGCCTCATTGAGAGCGGATGGGAATTCACTCCAAGTCGCATAAGGACCATCATAAAGCTTTCTGGTGGCTTTGGTGATGATCCTTGTAGTAACATTACTAGGGATGAACCTGCAATTTTTTTAAAAAAAATACATTAATATCTTAGTAAAACTGTACTAAACAAAAAAAGTTAAAATAACAAATAACTCTTACCCGTCACCCTCAGGGACTATGATGATCCTGCCATATTCATCATAATGCACCTCCTCGTCATTAGCAACATCATTGTCCGAAGCATGTACATCGGAGGCATGTGTGGAAGGTGTAGGGGGTCAGAGCTAGTATCTCGCAGGCGAAGGCCTGCAATAGATGGAGTCCCAGATGAAGATGGCTGCGAGCCCTGGGACTGCGAGCCCTGTGAGTGCGACACAA